GTGATACAATCTCATGGATACCTTTTTATGTCATTTCATACAGCTTGAAGATATGATAACATTTTTTGAAAGCCTGTCTAAACAATTTTCTCAGCTCTTCTCAAAAGTAAAGTTAAGACACCTAAATATGTCTGCAGAAGAATAACTTTTCTAACAAAAATAACTCAAAACTAGCTGTCCTCAATCTAAAAAAAATATATTTTTGACAGGTTGAACTAAGCTAAAATTTTTAATTTACTGAAATCACCTGGCTGTACTAAAACACTCTGAACTGTGGAAGCTGAAAGAATTGTCAAATTTACACCTTCATAAATGGACAAATTACAGTAAGACCTCTGTTTTTATATGAGCTGTTATGCTCCTGGTGATTTTATGCAGTTGAGCAAGCAGTTGCCTTTCTCATAACCTTATACTCAGCAAAGAAATGTATGAACGACATCCGCCCTCTCTGTCAGAGTGAGTAGGGAACATCCACCAAAACCTTACCCAAGCAAAATTCATTGTGCATTCATTACGTATGCCAAGGGCAATGTGTTCATAGGGATGTGACTTTAAATGATGGGACACTGAAAAGATTACAAGTTTTTAATCAATGCTGCGATTGAACTTAAACATCTTTAAAAATCAAAAGCAAATGAGTCACTGCAAAAAAGCTGCAAATAATTAGTGTAGAAAATGTAAGAAAAAAAAGTTGGAACAGCATCTAGATGACAGGTAGAGGACTAAAAGGGAGATGCTGTCTCCTGTAGGAATGATTTCAAACCGCACAGCTGAGCACTTCGAAATAATAGATAGGACCCCATTAGCAGGGGAACTCTGGGTGATGTTCCTAACATTTTCATTTTTTTTTAAATAAAATGGTTGGAAAATAAAACAATAGTTTGTTTTCATATTTCTCAGGGAAAGTTATTAGTGGGAGGAGCCTGGAGTCTGTTACCCACATTGAACGGCAGTCTAGGCCTGTGGGGACTCTGGTCATCATGATGCTTTTCATACCTTGGCTGTTTACACAGGTCACTGGACACAAGACAACCCTTCTCCAGTGAAGCTTGACTTGAGATCTTTATTAGTATAATGTAGGATAGTCGAGCATTTTCTCTGAATGTGTAAGGCTGTGGTGAGGCAGCAGACAGTTGTGCTGAGGTTGTCGTTCGGGCAGCCTACTAATCCTGCACAGTCTCTTCTGAGATGCACTGTAATTGTACTTTCATATAACTGCTTCCAATATGAGAGTCACAAGGTGTTTACTTTTGTGTGTACTAGTCTAACATCTCACCACACAGTTTATAGCCACTGACAAAATACTTTTTAAGCCATGCTAGCAGCATGGCTCTAGGGACAGCAGTGTCAGTCTCTCAGTTTGTCAGCTGGTCAACCACTTTGGTCCAGATTGAACTATCCCAACAGCTGTTGGATTGATTGATATGAATTTTTATACACACCTGTGGGATAAATCTTTAGTGAGCCCCTGACTTTTCTTGAGCACTGCTGTGAGATTGGCTGAGGGAAATATCTCATTAACTTTTGGAAGGAGTGCCAAGGCGATTCATAAAGATGAATGAACTGTAACAACTTTGCTCATCTTTAATTTTTCCTCTTGAGCTACCATCAGGTCAATGTTGTAATGTGTTCAGTATTTATGATAATATGTGACTGTAGACCTTTGTTAAAGCTACAATATGTAACATTTTAAAAATATTTTGGTTGTAGAAATCTGCTCGAAAACTTGTCTTAATGTGGGGAGGTGCTGTCAAAGCCTCCTGTGACCCAGACTCACTGAACAGCCCTGGCAGCAGTGCAGAAATATTAGCTACTAAATGTTTTTGAGTGGGATTAACCAATCAGAGATGTTCAATTAGTTCTGCTTGATCAGTAGGTTTGTTGCATTCTCATTTCATAGCAACAAATATCTGAGGAGCTGGGCAGAGCGTGGTGGAGCATAGTGGAGCAGGGAGAGGGAGGGCTGGGCGGAGCACAGTGGATTGATTTTGAGTTTCATTGATTTTGAGTTTCATGCTAGTGCTGCTTTAAGTTACATATTGTTATGTTTGGTCCAAAATATTATGTACAACCACAAATACTTCCTAAGCTCCATCTCTGTTCACTCATGGCTTGTCAGCTATTTAGACAGGGACCAGTATGTGTGACTGTCACTTCCCTTTAGACATGTTTGAATTAATTTAGACATCTGTTTCCAGATTGTTTAGTCGAGGGAACAGTGCATTTTATAATGTAATTGGAAACACAAATATTGTTTCTGGGACAACACAGGCTTGTGTGTTACAGTGAGGATACACAGACTTCACTTGTCTAAAACATTAATCCAGGATGATGAAACATTTAATAAAGCTGCAGCAAGACTAAAAATGAGAAAACCACAGTGACAGATGTTTGGTTCACCACGCATACACCCAGGATGAAAACGTCAGCTGCATATCCAAATGTCATTTCTCAGACTTTACTGTTAAAAGGTTGAAAATGTCTGGGACTGGGACTGATTGATCTTTTGTTACCCTTTAAAAGTCTGATATTTGGACGTGTCAAGTGACAATATGTAGACACACTGAACAAAAGAACCACTCAGAACGGCAAGGTTAGACCAAGAGTGAGTAAAAGGAGCCGTCAGTAAATGCAAAAGTGAAACTGAATATGATGAAAGTTTTGACCTGAAACAGACAGGTATTAAGTTTTTCTGACAGATCTCAGAGTTGTGTCGCTGCATCTACTGCTGTTCCACACATTGACCTTGTCGTTAATCAGAATCAGATATCTGCCTCTAATGTAGCCTGATGGAGTTAAGGCAGCGAAAAGACGGCTGATGCTCAACGGTGCTTGCAGGGAGGTACTGTAAGGCTTGTGAGCTGTGTGTGATAGATGCCATGCGCTTGGATGGTGATTGGAATGAAAATGAAATCACGCAGGGGGTTTTATTCTGCTTGCACTCTTCTGGAGAAAGAGTGAATGTTAGACAAATGGTGAATCTGTCAGTTTGGCAGTAACATCATGCATTTGCATCTCGCCGAGGGTGTTGCCCACTGCTTAGTTTTCTGCCTGTTTCACTAAGTCTCCTACTGTTCTTTCTAGTGGTGCTTTATTTCTTTCTTTTCACTCTCCCTTTGCTCTTTTCTGCTTTTCTTTGGCTGAGTTTCATCTCTTCAGGGATTCACACAGAGAAATCAATTTTGCCTGGCCCCTTTGCCTTTGGGAGGGAACATGGGCATATAAATATTCACATGCGGCTATTTCAGATCCTCAGCTTAGGGACTGGACTAGTGAATGAGCTGGTCTTCTGTTTGATCATGAAGCCCGCATGCATGTGTCTATGGATGATTTCTCTTTCTCCACGCATATTGCAATTCTTCTACTTCCTGGCTTAATTACTTCCTTCCTTAACTTCTCGTATTCTTGTCATCTCTTTTTCTTTTCTCCTCTATCACCTTCCTGTCATGACTTTGTGCTGTTTCATTCAACACTTTCTTCCATCCCTCTTTCCTTCTGTCATTTATCATTAGTCGTTCCTTGCCTCTTTTCTTTCCTTGGTCTTTCTCTCAGCACATACTTCCTTATTCTCTTCATCCTTAACTTTTTCCTTACAGTATTTTTCTTTCTTCCTTCAGAAATACATTCATTCATTCATTCCTTTTGTTTTCCTTAATGAGATCCTCCCTCTGTTTATCAATGTTGACTTCTGTTTCAGCTACAGCTTTGTTTTTCAAATGCACAGTGATACGGACTGTGAGAGCCGCACCTCTCCCCCTGCCCTAGCCGGCTGTCAGGCTGAATCTGCCAAAGCAGTGGACATGCACATATAGTACAAAAATACACAATGGAGTAGAGCGATTTAGTGCAGCACACTTTTGAATGAGTGCAAACAGTCAGAGCGATGTTGAACATGCTACCTCTCTATTTGACCTCGCCTTGGTCTGACACAAGACACCTCCCTCGCACCCTAACAGCTAATACAGCCGGACAGGTGTGTGTATTTGTGAGTTTGTGTGTGCGTGCCTACAGTCATTCTGATGTATATTTTATATGAGGCTGCTGAGTGTATGAGTGAAACTAGGACATGAAAGAGGCCAAACTATATCCTGGTTAAATGTGGGTATGTTTCTCTGCCAGCTGTAGAGTAGATGAATGTGTGTACTTATTTCGTTACCTTCATACTTTTTAACCATATATTTTCGTTTGACGGCCTTATCATTCATTCTCAGGGCTCATTGTGGAAGTCTGTCTATGAGCCACATACAGACATACGCTCACAGGCGGATGTGCCTGTGTGCTAACAAAAGGGAGGCAAACAAACACAGACCACCTCAGCCATTCGAGGACACTATCTGTTTAATGTCTTTTATAAACAGCTCTTGAGTCTGGCATTATTTGATAGCCACATACAAAACATTGGGGTCACAAAAAGGAAGACGGGAGAGGAAAAGAATAAGGAGATAGAAGGGGGGAGGGGGGAGCAACACGGGTGGAAGAGAAGGGAGCAAAGAAGGAGAGGGAGGGAGAGAATAAGGAGACAGGGAGGGAGGAGATGAGGTGAAGTGGGGAGGGAAAGACAAGGGGCTGAAGAGAAGGAGAGAAAAGAAAGGAGCAGGAGAAGGACAGTGCAATATATTTTTTATCTTGAATAAATCATCTAAAAAAAAGGGAAGAAATGAAAATAATAAGGATGATCACTTTATTTGGCCAAGTGTGAAAGGCAGCCATATGTGGTGCCAACTCACACACACACACACACACACACACACATTGCAGTGGTGTCCATGCACGATGCTGAGCAGGGAGCAACCTGCAGGTCAGTGTCTTTCCCAAGGACACTTCGACATGTGGACTGCAGGCACCGAGATTTGAGCCTCCAACCCTCTGGTTGGGAGACGACCGCTCTACCCACTGAACCACAGTTATTATTAATCATAATAAATATTAAAGTTTTAGCCTCTAGCTACCTGTTAAATTTTTAAGGAACTTTTGAGACACAACAGAGTGAGTTTCTCCTTTTTCTTTCTTTCTTTCTTTCTTTCTTTTTTTAACAAAAAAATCATTCTCACAGGAATAAACAGACACAGTTTACATCACCTCTGCACTAACAAGTTCACCAGTAGGGGTCTCTAATCCTACATGTCAGGAGAATGACACCAGTGACAGGCTTATGTTTGTCCCCAACATTTAAATAGATAGACATGAGGGGCTTAGCAGGAAAAATACACACAAACAGGGTACAAATTTGGCCCCTGCTACTGGTTTCCCATCCATACCAGGTATTTTAAGGTTGCCAGCAAACCAAACAAGTATACTTTTGTGCTTTTTGTCAGCATGTCATGATTTTAGCTTGTTAGCTAGGCCATCTTTTGCATACAATGGTAGCTTGTCTTAAAATAGAATTTATAACTTTGTAATGCTGTAAGAAAGAGAGACTTTTACTGACTAGTGAAGGTACCCGGATTGCCCATGTTTACCTGTACAGGTTTCACCTATTGTTATTGAGCACTTGAGACATTGGGTGAGTGACTCTGAAATAGTCCAGGTCTAAAGTCAGAGCCCAGACAGCATCCGTGGTGCTCAGCTCTAGGGTGTGAAAGCCATGGACTGACAAGGGTTTGTAGTTCCTGGAACAGGAAGGCTGTGAAGGTGATTGATCAGGCTTTGTTAGGGGTGTATGTGCTTGAACTGTTTCAGATCATGGTTCAGGGTGCCGCATCCCAACATCCTCTCTGTCCTTGTTATTTCCTGAAGAAGAACCACAACCCTCAGGAATTTGATCCTTGGACATAGCAGCATTAAAACCCAACTCTCCAGTCAGGGCTTAGAGAATGATAAGTCCATCTGTTTTGGAGTTCACTAAACACCAGACAGGATAAACAAAGATATTCTGTAGCAGTTTAAGTCCTTTTGCCCTGTGGTGGTCCTCACAGATAGTGAACTGCTCTTGTTTTCCAGGTTCAGTAATTTGGTTAGACCATTGCTGGAGATATATAGCGGTGCTGTGGTGGTCATCAGTGCTCTTCCTTGATTGTAGGGCTTCTTTCCAGCATTTGAAACCATCCTGTGACTATTTAGATAAAATCATCTCTGCTTGAAAGATATTTTTCCATTAGCCATGATTGGACCTTAGCTTTTACTTGCCCTGCATGAGCTGACCTTTCTCACTCATTGAGGTGTCTGTTTTGTAGCCAGTGATCTCGAAGAGTGAATGAAAAGGTCTCATACTGTACCTTCATAACTTGTCCTCATCGGCCACCAGGCTTTCCATTAGGCACTCTTGCAAACTAGCTTCATTCTACCTGCATGGCTTTTGTGTGTGTGTGTTTTTTTCCCATTTGTTTTTTTTATTCTTTTTTGCTTTTTTTATACACTCATTCAAACACAGAACTTGTTCAATCACACACACATTTACATTGACTGTGACCAGTTGGCTCATATGACTGGTTAGTTTTGAATGGCTTTTAATCTGATGGGATGCCAGGGAAAAAGACAAATTTTAATATGAATAATTTGAAAAATTACCAGTTACACAGAGGTGTCACAATTCTACTGGTGTTTTTTAAAAGCCAAGGATAGAGATGTACATTAAAACAGATTCACTAGGTCGACATGAAAGTAAAACCACTATATTAGTAGACACAATATAGTGGTAGTTATTTTACTGCCATTTGTGTCTGCAGTTTTTTTGGTTCTGGATTTTAAGGTGCTGTTGAGTGAGCAGTGTGATGGTTATGAATGACTGTGCCATTGTCTCAGTGTGAGGGACAGATGGAAGGTGTCAAAAGGGTCAATCTGTTTCAGTCTGTATTTCATGTTCTTTTCACAATTTCAGTAGTTGAATGAATCAGTGGATTGTCATTTTGTGTGGCTGTACAGTTCTCATAAGTACATAAATTCAGTGAAGCAATCAATCCCACAGAGACAAATGCAGAGTTTTCCTGTTGTTTCTCTTGGTGACATCATCAGAGCAATGGGTTATATAGTTTCCCATGACTTCCATCTTTTGATTATGACTTGTAAAGATCCCGGCCTTAATACCGCAGGGATACTTTGACAGTAGATATTTGATAATGTACTTTTTACACAGTCATGTACACACACAGTTTTGCACACATGCCTCATTTAGAGCCAGGGCAACGTGGTTCAGGAGAATGAATCATAGGGTTACATCACCAGCACAAAAGTGGCCATTCCCTGTCTCAGCGCAGGATCACAGAGTTAAGTGACAGCAGCAGAGCTGATGAGAAACAGAGAATAAAATTTGCAAGGTTTAACCTTGCTTTATTATTAACTCTTTGGACCCCAATTGGTGGGCCGACAGAAGTTCTAGGAATGCACTTGTTCTTCCTCCTTGCAGTTGCAGACAGATCATATTTACCTCTGTCTGGAGTATAGTCATTCTCATCCCCCTCCTCTAGTACCTGCACCTCATTGAGTCCCCATTTTGCCTTGCGGCCCCGGCGGGTGCAGTTTCTACGACCTCCCTTAGGTGGTCGTGGCAAGGGTGAGGGTGAAGGCAAGCTGTATTGGTCCCCATGGGGCAGGTATGGCCTCTGGTGGTGGTTGTGATGGTTTCTGTGACGATTTAGGTGGTTCAAAGACTCTCCGTGCTCCATCTCCCCTCCTGGGGTACCATGTGCATGAACGTCGCTTGACTTGCAACTGGGCAGCTCATCCTTCTTCAGCGTTTTCAGGTCCTTCCCCATCAGCTCTGGTGGTGAAACACACATCAGAGAGGAGGTGGAGCCTCTGAATCTCCTCAGCCAATCCCAAAGGGACAGGGCCTTGCAGTCGCACTCCCAGGGGTTGTCATTAAGTCGTAGGTACTCCAGGGCTGGCAGCAGAGTCAAGCTGGCGCCAGATAGCTCCGTCAGGGAATTATTAAACAGGTACAGGGTGGTGAGGCGCCGCAGGTCATGGAAAGCCTGGCGGTCAACCCACTGGATTCGGTTCTGGTGGAGAAGCAGGCGGTCTAGGACTCCCAGACCACGGAAGGTGTTCTGGCGAAGGCTCCATAGTTTATTACCATGCAAGAAGAGATGACTGAGGTTGAGTAGGTCGATGAACAGGTCATCCTCCAGAAACTCTAACTGGTTATCCTGCCAGGATGTAGAGGAAAGGTAAAAACAGAACATTAAAACTGGGTGCAGTGCATTACAATGGATGCCACTTTGATTAATTCATGAGTAGTTTTGCATGCATTCGTTGTGTTGTAATATATTGTTACTTGAAGAGACTTTGTTGTAGTAACACTAATTTCAGCAGTAGTTAGTCCTTGTATGACATGTAGCTCAGGTCTGGTGTCGCGCAAGAAACTAAACATTACAGTATTATCCATTATACAACTCAAAGAGTAGGTTTATCTTGTCACACAGAATACATTGTACAGGAAATATCTAGACTAAGGAATTATGATGACCTGTACAGCTTCCATGTGGCAGTACAGTGTCTAGAGAAAGCAGTAAGAAATGTAGGGGTAAATGAATTTCTTCCCCCTTTTAAATGGTGCATGTGAGGTCGGGGATTTTGGTAACGGTATGTGGCCAATGACTGCAGGTGATATACTCATAACTATCTGTGATTTTGTCAATTTCAATTGTTTTTGCCATCAGTAATTTTCTTATGAGATCCTTTTCTTCTTAAATCCACCATATGATTCCTCGATTTCGGTTCCTGGAGGTTACTTCAATGTGAGAGCTGCTTTGTGGTACTTTCCTTGCACTCAGGGTAACAGCTGGCATTTGATCAGTGTTCAGTTCATAGGCAGCAAGTGCAGAGCCAGGCTGACAGATTACACCATAATGTGATTGTGGTGCAGATGCAATATACATTACAGATAAAAGGAGGCTGTCATCCACATACCTGTAGGTAGAGATACTGGAGATTATGGAGGCCCGCAAAGATCCCTGGAGGCAGGGTGATCAGGCCACAGTGGTATAGGTGCAAGGCGTGTAGCCGACCCAGCCCCAGGAACGTGTCTGAAGCAACGGCCTTGAGGTGACGGTTGTCCCCAAGATCAAGCTCCTCCAGGCGGTCAAAGCCGTGGAAAGTGGACGGTTGTATGTAGGAGATGTTGTTGGAATAAAGCCACAACATAGTGGTGGTGGGCGAGAAGTGGCCACGAAG